TTTTTTAAAATTATTCTGTCAGTAACGTGATTGTTTTAATGACACAGTACCTCATTTGGACTAGGTTCAGTTGCTTAGGTATTTAACTTGCACTTCAATACTCTGTTCATGTTCCAACCTATTTCTAAATTTCTCGTTTGGGATAGTTTCACATCAAAAGTATTTAGAAGTATAAATGGTGTTTACTTGTAATGAAATCTTTATATTTCTGCCATTAAGAATGGTACTTAGCTGTACAGAAAGTGTATCATTCCCCATAAAACCGTTGGCATGGTGAATTTGATGGCATGTTAAAAACAAACTTCTTGATTACTGTAGGGATCACCATCATTAGGTTTTTGGTACCGTAAGTGAAAAAATGATTCCAATTGGTCTAATATATCCTTTATTCAGTTTAAAATGATCATATCAACCAAACATTCTCCTATAGAGACATTTGTGGGTTATATTCTGAAGATATTGTGTGTTAACTTGTTCCACAACAACATATTTCACAACATACTTGAGATCTAGGATAAGTGCTCTTTGATCAAGGTCGTAGGGTCGAACGCGTGCAAAGTGTTACAGTAGTTTTTTAATGACACCATTCACTGTGGAGATTCTCTCTTTTGATGGAGTTGCGTTGTCCATCTATGCAACACCAACCACTGTATTGCCCACCTCAGTTTCCAAAATAAAACAGTCAACCGATGCGTTAAGAACACCAGTGTCTAGTTCATATATCAGTCAGCATTCGTGTAATTTACCAATAACTGGCGATACTGGTTCCTTGTTACTATACTAACCGAAATATAGTAGCGTCTCGAAGTTTTCGTTAACTTGATGGTAACCTCCCCACAATATGTAAAAGTATCAATTCGATCTTGAATAGTTTATGAGTGCATAGTGTTGACTCTAAAAAGGGTTAAACTGTGTATAAGTTTTATGTTGTCTTTTGTTGTTTGAAACTGTTATATTTCTGGTTTACACTGTCTATATGTATCTCTTGTCGGGGTCTCGTAAATACAGAAGCTTTCTCACCTAAGGTATGCATGACTAGGTTTATAAAAAGTTGTAGTATACGAGTTTTACATTTATGGTCATTTGGGAGATATAAACTCAATATAAATGGAAAAATTAGGTGACGAAAAAATGATATGACCAGATAAGTGTATTGGATGTCGACTAGAATTTCATCATAATGTGTAGTAACAATCCTCAGATTATTTAATCCCTCCACTTTTCGCTTCACGAATTTGTTCGCATCAATTTATTCTATTGTTATATGCTTCTTGCATTGCAGGTGGAAGACTGGTCATCCGTAACTCCACATGCATTAACATTCTTAACGGCTGAAAGCGTGGCTGAAAGTATAGTACCCAACGGTTCTCGTAGACTTATATGCCCAAGACCATTTGTTGATTCAAAACCACGCATTCATCAGTGGTGTTGGCTTTTGTGTCCCCCATCAGGAACGAATTCAAAGCTTGTACAGGAATGGAATTATAAATTCGAATTGGAAACTAAAGAATTGGTTGGATTATTTTCTGAATGGCTTCGAGCTCCTCGTGGCCTTGGAGGACTGACAGATGCAGTTTTATCCATTTTGGATTTTTCAATTTCGACTATGAAAAGTAAAAATAAGCATAAGAATTCTACCCCTTCAGGTAAAGAAAAACAACATTCTCAAGGATCAGGTTGTAGCAGTGTTGGGTCAACTGAAGTTGATTCGGAACCCGATGAAGTTCAAAGGTGTTTGCGGATAGACGACTGCCAAATGGAGTCCGATGGTGGCGCGACGAAAGGTAGAATTAGGCAAAAAAGCAAAAAGAAGGCTTATTCTAAACACTCTGAGCAATCAACATTTCATGAAGATTATCGGTTATATTCGGATGATAGTGTCCCTCCGCCACTTTAGTGAGTTAAACGACATCTATTTGTTTTATTATTTTACAAAAGTTATTACTTTATTCGATTTCTATTTTATGAGAATCGCGTTATCTGTTTAAACCATCTTATATTATCTATTATCTTCCTCACTTGGAATCGAAGCAGATAAATTAGTTCTCAACTTATCAGAATTCAGTAACACTGTAAATAAAAAAGTACCTAATATGTTACGGCAATCATTAACAAACAGTTGTGGCTAAAACACCGAGTAGGTAAAGTAGGCGGTACAACAACTTTGGATTTTTGAACATGTTAATTAGTTTGAATTTTACTATGCGGAAAATCAACCAAGAAATCATGTGATTTCGGTAGTTTCGTCCGAATTTCCCTGATTTATATTACTTACTGGTTCGTTAGTCACATAGATTATTCATTTACAAAACAGTGATGTTTTAAAAGTACTTAAATATCTAACTAGCGTACGAAGCAGCTTTGTGTATTACTAAATCTGCTGAAATATTTTACTGTAATAACACCTGTTTTTTTAGTTTGGAATTTTGTGGGGATTGTTTGATTTCAAGGTTGCATTCATCACGAATTCGCATAAGTTAGAAAGCTATTGAAAACCTAGGAGCACTGGACAGTTTTTTCATCCTGTCATGGGACTCCTTCTCCCTCAGGTTTCGTGGCGAGCACGTTACTATTCAGGCACAAATCTTCAAACTGAATTGCTCTCCAATGCTCATCAGTGACATGCATGGAGGTGGATTTCTCAGAGTCCTAGTGAGAAACCGCGACCTGTGGAATCAACTAAGTCGAGTGGGGGGGGGGGAATGCTTACCAATTGCATAAGATGATGATCGCACTATATCGCGAACTAACAGAATTAAGATGTGGAACATTGGATTCCGACCTAGTGAATGAATGGCAATTTGCTCGCCGCGGGACATTAGTCCTAGGTTCGATCCCGGACGGGGTCATAGGTGCGTCCTTCTGAAGTCTCATAGCGGGACGAAGCAGCTGCTGAGTGCTCCCTTGTTTTCAATGGTTCTTCAACTGATGCCAGTTCGTGATGAATACTATTCTGGCGTTAATTTTTCGAACATAATGTTGCCAACATTTTTCTTTGTGTCTTTTTCTCATTCCAGCCCAACCAGATGGAAACTTCGACCCTTTACAAGGAGGAAAAAGCAGATTTTCAATCACAGGTATGTGTTTCCACTCTCTTCTTTCAAGTGTCAAATAAGATGAAAAATACTTTCGTAGTTATTCTGTTATCTAATACCAAATAGCATCAGATGTTCAGTTTTGTCAGTGCCCCAAGGTAGCTAGGTTTTTTGGTTTGTGAACTTCAGTACCTAAGTAGGTCATCTTTTCTTGAATGACAAAACGTATTCATTTTTCCGCCGTATGTGAAATGTGTTTGATCGATTTAGGCACTCAGTTTCCAAACGGTGGGCCATGAGTTAGAACTCTTGTTTACTTACCGAAGTTTTTTCATTCGGATAGCATCGATAATCTCTGAAAATTAGGTCTAGCTCATAGCCTAGTATACGAAGTTGTACTTGATTGCCAAAAAAAGGTAAAGCTACGTTAAGTCCGTTTTAATTTGCTTAGTAGGAAAACCACAGTGTTATTTACTGGATTACGTTTGGATACCACTTGCTCTCCATATTCATATCGTGGTAACTCCACAACTGAGGCATTTTTTATATAGTTCTCATTCTCTCTCGTCTTTGATATAATTTATAGAAATGACCATATTTCTGGATCAAATGCTGAGTCATTCATGTTGCATGTATTATTGTGGATTCCGTAAACAATGATTCGGTTATCAATCTTTCTTTCCGCTCAACTAAATGAGTTTCATGAACTGTCACTTTCTCCCATCCTATTTTTTGTTGTCATACACACACCTGAAGTCAAGATTTTCTCTGTAATCCGCATATCAGTAGGACATATGAATCTTGAATTAGCTAAGGCAACCTGACTGACCCCGGTTAAATGGTTTAACACATACTTTCCCTCGCAAGTGATTCGGTAAACTATATTATATGGTCTAATTTGATCAACAGGACTATTTAATTTGCAAAGTTTGTTTCTAAGTGAGTTGGTGGGCCTGAACACTCTTCTTATCTCAGGTATGTTGAAAATTCTCCGTCACTATTCTGAGGAGTCTTCTTAATACAGTAACACTAGGGAGCTTTTGAATTCTCCCTATGCAGTGTCATCCTTATTATTGGCACTTGTGCTACCACTGCTTCTCATACTTTTTTTCTATTTCAGGTAAATTTATTGGAAAATTTAGGTGGAATATTATTTGAGGTGAAAGGTAACCCTAATGCGTCTGATTTATTTTCTCAGATTTTCCGTCCTATTAGGAGGTTGCTTGACCCTGTTCTTTATACCTTTTGGTAAATGCATTTTAACTGACATAGGGTGAGACTGCTTGAGGTCTAAGTGGCGATTTGAATTGAAAGGTTTCTCATTGACATAAGACGTAGACATAAAACAAGTTTACTTGTCTTATTTTCGTTATATCCCGGAATCTAAAATCGCTAACCCCTCAAAATTCATCACTTTTTTGTCATAAGTCAATTAGATTGTGATCACTAGTAAACTTATATGAGTAAAGAACCTATTTATATGCTTTTATTTCCTCACTATAAATATGTCATTTACACAGCAAATAACTGTTTATATGATCCTGTCTCCATCTCACTGCCATCACCAACAAACAAAACAACCAAAATTACCACTAATTCATTTCTCTTGATCTAAGTGTTTTGTTATGCATATGTTATCCTATCCTATCCGAATCTCTTTTCATTTTAACCATCATTTCGTAAGACTGCGGTATGCGTCGGTTCTATTTTGTGCATACTTATTCTTTTACTTTTAGGAAGCTGAACGTTTTTCACATCCATGGTTGCCATTTGTCTATCATATACAAGATTATTATGCTGTGGTCGGGCCGTTACGCTCCGCTCCAAGTGCATTAAATCATGAATTAATATCACTTAACTCATGTCGTAATTGGTCTGGCCATTCCAAAGCCAGAGATCATCCTTTGTTGAGATTGGATCGTCCTATGTTTGTTAGTTTGTCGGAAATTGTCCGCGATGCTGTGGCTTGCTTGCCCAATGGGGAAGGCACTCGTGCAGATATTACTGTACTTGTACAGAACAGTGGCTTTTTATTACCGAATACTAACCCACGCCAGGTAATTCCGTTTCCCAATCTTCAGTTTTATGTCATTCTTTTCGTTTGAAAACTTCCATATTTCTTAGCATTTCCAGAGTATCGACTCCGATAACTTCATCATCATCAATATCGACATAGGACCAGGAATTAGTGCGTAACGGTCCAATTTGCACGTCATATCAACACATCAAATACAAACAAGCAATAATATGAAACATGAAGAAAAAAAGTGTGTCAAAAGCAGTAGAAAGTAGTAAAAATGATGTAGGAGGAATGGGAAAGTACTGAGTTGTATTTGGCAATTAAGATAATATGTAGATTCATCTGCGCTATTGAGATCGATTCAGAGCTACATCATCTGGAGTCTCCAAACACTGGTTCCACTCGCCATGCGGAGTCCAACCGCGAAGTCTACATTTCCGCACACGACTCGGACAAACACTCACACACTTCATGGATTGATGCCATACTTTAGTTTGACCATCTTTAACCTCTACCAGCCTTCAGCTACCTAGGCTAACGAGGGAGATGGTGATTAGAAATGTGTGACACATGGCCCATCCACCTGAGTCGATGAAAATTCACAACCTTATCAACTGACTTTCCTCTTCTCCCTAAAAGTCTATGCCTGACTTCTACCTTACTGACGTGGTGACATCATGACACACTGTCCGAGCTACGAAGGCAATGATGGTCAAACACACCTGAAGCCTTCTCATGTCCTCTACCACGACCATTAATGGTCATATTTCACAGGCATATGGTAAAACGAAGTGAACTGCAGTGGAGAGTACACTCGATTCTTCATATGTAATGAAATATCCCAGTGGCACGATAAATGGCGTAGGTTGGTGAAAGCCGATTAAGCCCTTTGTATGTGTGTAGAGATTTCGTTGGTCGATGACTGGCTAGGGATGATGTAACTTCCTAAATAAGCGAAGTGGTCAACGCACTCAACTGTGTCACTGCCTGTTGTTAAACCATGTACAGTTGGGTGATGGGAAACACATCCAAAACATTCTGAAATTGCTACTCAAGGTTTCCGGCAAATTCCGCATTTTGTCATCACCTTCATCTAACAAGAATATGTTACCTGTGTACTCTACACCTACCAATGATCCCCATGTGATTTGGTCAATCGCTGTGAAGTCAGACGACGAGAGGGAGACCACCATAAATAAGTAGGCCTAGGGTGGAATTGAATGAGAATAGATGTAGTGAGCATCGTTTACGGATACTACTCGACTTACGTCGTTGACCTGATAACTCAGCATAGGCTGTAACGTGACTATGGTTTTTCGAGTAGACAGCCCTCAAGGGAGTGATGTACTAACTCCATACCCGTTTCAGTGAGACACTGGGATGAAAGGTATTGCTCAGTGGTGTTGAATATCGTCTTCGTGTTGAGAAAGACAGCTAGTGTTGGTTGTTGGTGAGTGTGTGTATCTGTGTTAGAGAAGCTATCGGAGTGTGAATATACCTCGTTGATGCACTAACAGCCGGGTCTGAAGCCTGCTTCACTTTCTCGCGTTCGCTGTTTCTGACCTCCACTTCGACGTTTGTTATAATTATAGGACCTAGAATCTTAGACACTACGCGCGTCAAGCTGATTCGTTTGTGGTTATCACAAGAGGACAGTCAGTGATTGGGACCAGTCAGAGGGGATCACACATGACTCCTATACACTAACTAACACTTCAGTTGACCTGATGAATAGTCGGAGACCACTGTCCTTGCATATCTTTGGCGCCAGTCGGTCTAGTCCTGCTGCTCTTCCCAGTTGTTTCAGATTAGTTTCCGCTTCCTGGACTTCTTAATGTGTCGGAGGTTCAGTCTCAATGTTTCATTGGAAGTGTGACTTGATAGGGGACAACGAGATAGTAGCTGGATGCCAATTGAACTGTTCCTCGAAGTGTTTCACTCACCGTTCTAGATGTCTTCTCTGAGAGTAAATTGCAGACCCATCCTTTTCTGTTATAGTCGACCTTTTCACCCCAGGTTCCTTAAGGGTGTAAACCTAACTGACTGTCTCCTGTTAGTTGTCGCTGTAGCTATCTTCATCTCTTTAGCCTGCACTGCGCACAACTGTTTGTGCTCACTACGGAGACTTATTGTCAATCTACGTTTAATTTGCATTCGGTCATCGTTGCTTTAGGTGCCTACAGGGATGCGTTTGCGTGCATCCAATAATTCAGAAGAAGCTACTGAAATCCACAGGGTCTCTTTATGCTCTGTCTGAAAACTGGGGATTAGGCCAAGCTTCTTTCCCATGAGCAGCATTGTTCATTTTCGATTACTGTCAAACCAGTCGCTCAGTGAAGCGGTCTTAGTGCTCTCACTGTTGATGTGCATTTGAAGTGGTTTTTTCGCCATAGCTCTCCTACGTCCATTGTGGCACGGACCTACGCGCGCTCGAATCGATGCGTGACCACTGTGCAAACACTCACTTTAGAAGCAATGGGAATCTTCGGCGAATTTCTCCAACAATAACTGATATCAATTTGATCTTTTTGTGTCTATTGTTGCGTTGGTGTCGATGAATGCCACGTCAGACGATGTCTCTCTTCATTCCCGACTTTCATGCTGATCAGAAGTAGGTGGTGGTGTGAGCACAGTTGTAGTAGGCAATCGCCGTTGTCCATTCATTTGGTTGAGATTTTTAACGTGCCACTCAAATACCTTTCTACCTCACTCAGTCTACTCACCTGCAACAATCACCACGTCTGAACGTTTAGGTTTCGAAAGAAGGCTAGACAGTTTTCAACAGAACTCATCCTTCACTTCATCCGAACTGCAGTCAGTGTGTGCGTGGTCAGAGACTACAAGGAGACTACGGCGTGTTTCACTGTTATTTCTAATCCTCATTATATTGTTCAACTAGACGGTGTACAGGGCAGTGTTAACTGGAATCTGGTCGAGTAGTACACCTTCTGCTCCACTTACACCTGCAATAGCGCGACAACTGGCAATCGAATGTCTAGAAACTCGAAGGGTGGATTTTGTAGATTCATCACATTAACTAGGTGAGGTTAGGGGAATAACCACATTTGGGTTTTGCATTTGTGTGTCACAAGCACAACACCCGTGCACGGTTTGAGGTGTCAGAGTTTTGGCTAGTGAAACTTGTTGTCCAATTTGATGGAGGGTGCGGACATAGAAAGCTGCAGTATGTGGTGTAGAGCGTGATTTCAGGAGATCAGAGATTTAGTTCCATGAATTTGACTCTTTTGTTACCATGGGCTTCAGAGCTGGAAAAAGTCGGAAATGGCATAAGAATGTTGACCGTGAGATGAGAATGGAGATCAGAAGGCAAAGATGTGGAAGGTTGGTAATGATTTGGGGTAACTAGAGTGCTTGACGGAGTTGTGAGGGTGCTTGACATATCGTGGTTGCCCACTTTGTCAATGATTAGTTCTTCTTGGTATGTATATCTGACGGAGATTGGGTTGGTAGTGGTGTTTGGCTGACCATAAGTCTAAGGAGATATCTGTTCGGGACTATTCACACATCGCCTTTTGGGATGTTTGAGACTAGAGTTTTGCTTTGGAATCAGCTACTGACCCATGCCATCAGCATTGAAAGAGATGAATGTTGGGTGTGCGCTATATTTGGGGTCAACTTTTTCTAGCCGTATGTTTCGCCTTACGGATGGTAGCGTCAGCGTATTCTGCTGGTCATGAGCGGAAAAATGTTGCTGATGTCAAAATCGGTTGCAACAACAGTTCGGTTCGGTTCTGTCAGCTAAATTTATGCTAGGTACACTGCTAGGAACTCGACCCTAAATGAGCCATCTTTTGTTTAGATCACTCTGACCTGGTTGGTTTCGAACAACTTAGCTTATTCAATAGTAGTATATTTCGCTAGTGATTGACACTTTTGTGTTGGGGATTACACCTTGTGTTCTCGGCTGAGTGGTTTCCAGTGGAAACCTTGTTGATACCACAGTTGGGCAGTTGGAAAAAAATACTTAGTCGTGAGAAATGTCAACACGGACCGTGAAATTTGTAAGGCATTTGCAAAACGGTAGCAAGTTACATGAGGCAATAATAAATACGATATGAAGTAAGTGGATATTCACTGCTATTTGGAGTTGAAAAAATTATGAATGTATATAAATGCTGCTCTAAATTTCACTTAGTGTGTTTTGTTGATTCCACCTAGGTTGCCTAAAATTCCTTAGTTTTTCCAAATCCAAGTCTTCATACTCTAATCTTATCACCCTAATGCTATTTTCTGTCATGCATAACGCACTGGATAGGTGTATGTTGGACAAGAGCACTACATGCCTCAGTTACCTCATTTAGACGAGGACTAACTGTCTGATGAACTTAGATTTCTTGAGTGACTCTTAAGGTCACCCTAGCAACAACTTAAATAACCATCTGTCTTTTCATTTCGTCTTGAAAGGCAGATTTTTATAAAACAAAGAAGTACAGTTGATTTTTTCACTTGTTGCTAAGGTTGCCTTTAGAGTCGCACGATTTCTCATCTACTTAGCAATATTTATGTTTAGTTTCAAGATTGTTGACTCACTTTTCTCACCAACTTTTGTGGTGCTGCAACATGTTTCGGAAAATGGGAAGCAATAGCTATCTAAAAATTCTTTCTTCAGCAAGCTATTCTTGAACTGATTTACTTAACTACTACACCTCAAACCACTGTTTGGAAAACGAGTTCATTTAGGTTTCTTTTTGAATGATACAGAGAATGAAAAGAAATTGTACCGACCAACTTACTTTTTCAGAACCGTACGCAAAACATCTTCAGTAGCTATATGGATACAGTCAGCTTTGATACCAACTGTATTACGGAATTGGGATTATTTTCCACTCTTCGTTTCTAATATATTTAATGAAATCGTTCTATATCCTTTTCTTAACAGTTGCAACAGTGTGTCAGTTCGGCGTTGGATCGTTTGCAAGGAGAAACATCTGATCCATCGGTTTATTTTAACAGCGATCGTCGAATGTGGATCTATCGTCATCGAAATCGGTCTGTTGAGCAATTTGGTATGTGATTATGTCTGTGCAGTAACCTAGATAGTCACATTTTCCCGATGCATGTAATGTAAGTGAATTTCAGTTGAAATGCTCCTGAGAGAGAGAGAGAGAGAGCATCGTCAACTGTAAATTTTCCACATCTCATCGGTCCTATAATCACTTATCGATTATACAAAATTATTTCTTGCTTCTGAAGACCGAAGAGAATTGAACGATGTTTGGAAGTGGTGTGTGATGTACTAAAACTATAAGCAAGTAATCGATACACACTTACAATGAACCATCAGATTTCGAACATCAGAGAAAAATTTGCAGTTGAAAGACTACCATATCTCATAATTAAGCAAAGAGCAGTGATACAAAATATCCGTAGACTATGTATCTGCTAGAATCCATCATCACCTGCTTTAACCGTCAACAAATGAGAACAAGCTAAAGAAAAAGTATCCCTAAATACTCCTGTTAGCTCGCTAATTAATGTTGCTGACTTTTGTTATGACCTTGGGGAAGAGTTGTTAAAAAATATTGTCCCCATACAACTAAATTATAAATTTTGCACCTATTTGAGGATTTCTAAAATAACGAGTTAAAGTGATCTAAATTTTTTATGCATTTAGGCTTAACTTTCGGGAATTTATTTTATTCATTATTACGTTATGACTCGTGAATGATAAGAACTGGAATTTAATGTGATATATAAGATGTTGTCCCCTTGCAATCGTATTTGCTGATGAAGAAACAAAGAAAAATACATGAAAAACGCATCGGTTTGTTCGTTATATTCATGATGGTCTATGCTTCCAACCAAGCCTTTTTATACAAAGATTATGCTTAAAGTTTCTGAATAATGCGATTCTGATATGAATCTGCTTGAAGTTAGTCAAGAGTTGGTAGAAACTCATATGTAAGAAGTTATGTGATTACTGTGATATGGTATTGAGAAACCATTTGTAATCTAAACATCATCCAGCAGGTAATTCTATCATTGTCGGCCAAATTGAATTTGTAAATTAGGCACGGAACACCTTCTGTCATATTTCGCTGATATTGTCTCTATCTCTTTAGTCTTAACTGTCTATCACTGCACATAGTCTTTGTCAGTCTTCATGTAAGTCGTTTCTACTTTTCATCATGCTCGAACCTTCAGAAGTCTATTTGCATACATCCACCACTGTTGATGCACATCTAAAATTCCATGCCTGTTTCTTAACTTTTTCTGACGGTTATTTATTTCTTCACCGCTGGTTTTCATGCTGATGACACCAGACTTCTTCAGAATGACTGATGTTTTCATTATTTAAGAACTGTCTGACCAGTTTGTCCTTCAAAGCAGTCTTAGTATTTGTATCATCGGAATGAACTCTTAAAGATTTTACAGTTGCATTCATCTTTTATCCAACGTTTGCTGCAGGATGGGGTGGTAACCTAGCGACCATCTCCAGCAATAACTGACAGCAATATGATTTCTCTCTGCCTAGGTCAGGGGACACCAAGTCAGACAATATCTCACTTTATGTCTGAAATTCATGCTCTCTGGAAATTGTTGATAGTCTAGGCACAGTTGTTTTAGGCGATCACCATTTTTGTTCCTTTGGGGCTGACTTCTGGAGTTTTTACTTATTTCACTTAATTTTCCTACTTGTGTACTTTTAGCAGAAGGTTGAGTAGTTTTCGGTTAAAATCGTCTTTCGCTTCATTTCAACTGCAGTGCGTAAATGAAGATTATAAATGGCAATGGCTTATGTCACCGTTCCTCTTATTCCTCAGTGTATGATTCAGTCGAACAACGCAGTCACCTATCTAATGGAATTCATTGGAATGGAGTGCCTTTTGCCCTGTAAGCTAGCACAGTGCTTGTACCCACGCTATCGTGAGAAATAATCAAGAAGTCTCTGCTACCTGAAAGCATGAATTCTTTAAGTCCACCACGTTGACCAGTGAGGTTTGAGCAAATGATCACACCTTGCGATGTATATAAGTTTCAAAAATGCAGAATATGTCAGTGGTCTGAGATGCTTGAATTTTGACTAGCGAGGATTACTGTGCGATTCTATGGTGACTGGATATAAATGACTAACATGTAGTTTGTCGTGCGGTTTTAGATCAGGTATGCTATTCCGTGACCGTGAATCATTATTAAGGGTTGCATAGCTGGAGGAAATTAAAAATAACAGAAATACTAGGAAGGAGGTGTAAAGAAAGATTAGAAAGCGAAGATTAGGAAAGTTAGTGGTGTTTAGAAAGGAATCGAATTCTGATCGAGGTTGACACTTCCCGGTTGCCCAACTTTGTGTTTGGTGACTCTTTTCTGTTGTCACGGAGAAAGGATGTGGATTGGTAAGAATGCTATTATCAACCTAGATGCATGACCACAGAGTTTGAAAGCATTTGCTCAAAGCTTGTTGGTTTTTTGCATGAATACTGGTCAAGACTTGACAGGATAGTTTCACAAATATTGGGCACAGGATGGAAAGTTAACATTAAATGTAAGTTATATTTTTTAAGTCTAGGGGTGCTTGAAATGAACAATTCCAACAATTGCATGGAAGTGTGGTTTGAGCTGTTTCAGAGAAATAATTAGGAATTTCTCTCTTACTGATGTTCATCTTTTTATTGTCGCTTGTGTTTTAGTCCTGTTTCTAATTATGATAACGTTATTTTCATTTCGTTGCCTCTCTCTCTTTATGATATCATTTATGGTAATTTTGAACCAGTGTTCAATTTTTTCTAATATCTGTCTCAAGTTGGTATTCATAACGAACTGACGTCAGTTGGAGAAACACTGGAAATCCGGGAGAACTGGACAGCTGTTTTATCTTAACATGTGACTCTTTAGCAGCGTGTACCCATGATCTCACTGGGATCGAACCCCAGGACCCCAGATTTCTCTTTGGTCGTTGGGGCAAGCGAAGTCGAACATGAGGGAAAACACTCAACGGTGACATTGGATGAAGGTCGCGGACGGACAGAAGTAGGAAAATGTGGACCAATGGATTTTGACTTTGCCACTCAGTGGTGACCAGCTCACTGCGGGACCTGAAAGTTCTGGGTTCCATCTCTGGTTGAGGTGTGGAGGCACACTGCTGAGGACTACGGTATTAAGATACAACGGCCGTCTAGAGCTCTCAAATTTTCTCCAACTGATATCAGCCTATGATGAATACCAACTTGAAATTAATGAACCCACCACAAACCTCCGAATTGAATTAATGTCTATCTTCTTAATCCTTTATCTGTCTACTTGTTTTCATATAGCTGAACTGCATGAAGCCAGATGTGCTGTCTATGAAACTAAGAAAATTATTCAACGCGGTGGTAATGCGACCTCTGTGAATAGTATTAGCAAACGTCCAAATCAGTTTAATCCTGAAAAGCATTCTGTTTACCTAAGTAAACACAATAGCTTACGGGATAGTTCTTCTAGAATCTCTAGACGATATCAGTGTAGTGGAGGAAGACAAATCCAATCAGGATATGTTAGTCGAGATTATGGATATATGGAATTAAGTGGTGGTTATTCACTGAATGAAGATGATGATCATATCCCAGATATTGAAGAATTAGAGGCAGCTGATGAAATCAATATGACTGAATATAGTTGTACATCGGCGAGTGGTTCAATGGATCCCTATGAAGTTGAAGTTCATGAAGCTAATAATAACATGGTTGATGATGAAGGTGATATAGATAAAGTGAATTATGAAAATGAAATTTTGAGTGATTGGGATGATGATAAATCTACCGACCGTACGGTCAGTTATCCTACTAGTCAACATGACAATCATGATTTGACTAAGAGAGTTAGGTACTTGGACCCATTCCAGTCAAGAAGTCCAACTTCGTTTATCATGCCATCACATAATCGTTCGCAGGCAACCTCTGCTCATAATGATACAAAGCATTCAAGATCTCAAAACTCTGCTTTTTCATCTGATTCGAAAAGGCGGTACACAAATTATGATGGTAGTGATGCTCAGTTTGAAGATTATGTCATTGACAATGAAGGGATTGATGAAGAATATTTTTAAGCGAAGTGAATGAGTTACTACCTAATCAGTAATATATAAAGCTATATTTCTTACTGTTCATTGCATTTATTTTAATTTATATGTATATATTGCTCAGATTTCTGTTAGTGCCACTTGATTCAGTTTTACTTCTTGATTTCTAAATACAAGTATTTATATACTATAGTCATACTTCTGTGTTGATGTTCAGCTGTTTATGTTTTTGGCTATGCATAAAGTAAATTGGCAAAACACTAGTTGTGTGTCTAACAGCAATAAAGTGTTTTCTGCAAGTGATCACCACTCCTTACTTATACTGCCTTCTATTAGTTACAAGAGAGCATCGAAAAAGATTGACCCTAAAAATAATACTCTTCTTTGCCCTACAGTCTTAACATTCCATCCATCCGAATCAACATAGGACCAGGCATTACTGCGTAACGGTCCGAGTTGCCACAGCTCATATCACCACACCAAGTAAAAAAGCAGCGAGGTGCAAGATGAAGATAAGAAAATTCAGTCCAAAGAAATATAAAGTATGAGAAGAGAGAAAAAGAGGATGAGAAAATGGTGAGATTCGGCATAATGTTAAGACGAGAATAATGTGTGCATACATCTGCGCCACTGACATCGGTTCTCAGCCATATCACCTAGAGTCTCCAACCACTGGTTCCTCTTATCTCGCGGACCCCAACTGACTAGTCTGCATCGCCCCACATGGCTCAAGCCAACAGTCAAAGACTTCAAACACTGATGCCATGTTTTGGTCTGGCCGCCTCGAGCCCTTTTCCAGGCTGAACCCACTTCGGCCAACATTGTGTGACGAGGCAATCGGCGACTACGCATACGTAACACATGTCCCAGACAGCTATCTCAGTCGATGAAGGTTCACCACCATGTCAACTGATTTACCTCTTCTCCCCAAAACTCTACACCTGACTTCTGCATTACTCACATGGTGACACCACGGAATACGGCCTATACTACAAAGGCAACGGTGGTCAAACACTTGAAGCCTTCTCATATCTTCCACCTTCAATGGCCATGTTTTACAGCCATACAGTAGAACAGAGCGTACTGCTGTGCAGTACACGCGACCCTTAATAGACAGACGAATATCACGGCGGTGCCATAGGTGACGTAGCTTGGCAGAAGCCAATCGAGCCTTTTGTATTCGTGCAGAAATTTCGTCTACCACTGAGCCACCAGGGATGAACCAACTTCCCAGGTAAGTGAAGTGTTCAACACACTCAACCACTTCACTGTCCATTGTTAGCCAAGGCACTGTTGAAGACCAGTCCTGGAGCAACAATTTGCATTTGGGTGGTGAGAATCGCATCCCAAACATTCTCAAATTGACACTGAAAGTGTTCAGAAGACTCTGCATCTTGTCAACGTCATCTGCCTATTCCAGGGCGTACAGCACAATATCAGTTATAACCGAACACAAGCTGCATACGGAATAGTTGAGAATTAGTTGATATAAAGAAGTGATGGTTGCAATGTTACAATGAGCTTTGCTGGAGGAATGCTTATTTCCTCGAGGTCCCACCATACCAGAAAAGTCACTTGAATACTAATAAAACAACAAGCAGTTACTTTTACAGCATGAATTGCTGGCAAACGAAAGAGGTCCGCGAAAGACGTTGCTCTGTTGTTGCAACCGGTTTTGACATCAGCAACATTTTTCCGCTCATGACCAGCAGAATACGCTGACGCTACCATCCGTAAGGCGAAACATACGGCTAGAAAAAGTTGACCCCAAATATAGCGCACACCCAACATTCATCTCTTTCAATGCTGATGGCATGGGTCAGTAGCTGATTCCAAAGCAAAACTCTAGTCTCAAACATCCCAAAAGGCGATGTGTGAATAGTCCCGAACAGATATCTCCTTAGACTTATGGTCAGCCAAACACCACTACCAACCCAATCTCCGTCAGATATACATACCAAGAAGAACTAATCATTGACAAAGTGGGCAACCACGATATGTCAAGCACCCTCACAACTCCGTCAAGCACTCTAGTTACCCCAAATCATTACCAACCTTCCACATCTTTGCCTTCTGATCTCCATTCTCATCTCACGGTCAACATTCTTATGCCATTTCCGACTTTTTCCAGCTCTGAAGCCCATGGTAACAAAAGAGTCAAATTCATGGAACTAAATCTCTGATCTCCTGAAATCACGCTCTACACCACATACTGCAGCTTTCTATGTCCGCACCCTCCATCAAATTGGACAACAAGTTTCACTAGCCAAAACTCTGACACCTCAAACCGTGCACGGGTGTTGTGCTTGTGACACACAAATGCAAAACCCAAATGTGGTTATTCCCCTAACCTCACCTAGTTAATGTGATGAATCTACAAAATCCACCCTTCGAGTTTCTAGACATTCGATTGCCAGTTGTCGCGCTATTGCAGGTGTAAGTGGAGCAGAAGGTGTACTACTCGACCAGATTCCAGTTAACACTGCCCTGTACACCGTCTAGTTGAACAATATAATGAGGATTAGAAATAACAGTGAAACACGCCGTAGTCTCCTTGTAGTCTCTGACCACGCACACACTGACTGCAGTTCGGATGAAGTGAAGGATGAGTTCTGTTGAAAACTGTCTAGCCTTCTTTCGAAACCTAAACGTTCAGACGTGGTGATTGTTGCAGGTGAGTAGACTGAGTGAGGTAGAAAGGTATTTGAGTGGCACGTTAAAAATCTCAACCAAATGAATGGACAACGGCGATTGCCTACTACAACTGTGCTCACACCACCACCTACTTCTGATCAGCATGAAAGTCGGGAATGAAGAGAGACATCGTCTGACGTGGCATTCATCGACACCAACGCAACAATAGACACAAAAAGATCAAATTGATATCAGTTATTGTTGGAGAAATTCGCCGAAGATTCCCATTGCTTCTAAAGTGAGTGTTTGCACAGTGGTCACGCATCGATTCGAGCGCGCGTAGGTCCGTGCCACAATGGACGTAGGAGAGCTATGGCGAAAAAACCACTTCAAATGCACATCAACAGTGAGAGCACTAAGACCGCTTCACTGAGCGACTGGTTTGACAGTAATCGAAAATGAACAATGCTGCTCATGGGAAAGAAGCTTGGCCTAATCCCCAGTTTTCAGACAGAGCATAAAGAGACCCTGTGGATTTCAGTAGCTTCTTCTGAATTATTGGATGCACGCAAACGCATCCCTGTAGGCACCTAAAGCAACGATGACCGAATGCAAATTAAACGTAGATTGACAATAAGTCTCCGTAGTGAGCACAAACAGTTGTGCGCAGTGCAGGCTAAAGAGATGAAGATAGCTACAGCGACAACTAACAGGAGACAGTCAGTTAGGTTTACACCCTTAAGGAACCTGGGGTGAAAAGGTCGACTATAACAGAAAAGGATGGGTCTGCAATTTACTCTCAGAGAAGACATCTAGAACGGTGAGTGAAACACTTCGAGGAACAGTTCAATTGGCATCCAGCTACTATCTCGTTGTCCCTATCAAGTCACACTTCCAATGAAACATTGAGACTGAACCTCCGACACATTAAGAAGTCCAGGAAGCGGAAACTAATCTGAAACAACTGGGAAGAGCAGCAGGACTAGACCGACTGGCGCCAAAGATATGCAAGGACAGTGGTCTCCGACTATTCATCAGGTCAACTGAAGTGTTAGTTAGTGTATAGGAGTCATGTGTGATCCCCTCTGACTGGTCCCAATCACTGACTGTCCTCTTGTGATAACCACAAACGAATCAGCTTGACGCGCGTAGTGTCTAAGATTCTAGGTCCTATAATTATAACAAACGTCGAAGTGGAGGTCAGAAACAGCGAACGCGAGAAAGTGAAGCAGGCTTCAGACCCGGCTGTTAGTGCATCAACGAGGTATATTCACACTCCGATAGCTTCTCTAACACAGATACACACACTCACCAACAACCAACACTAGCTGTCTTTCTCAACACGAAGACGATATTCAACACCACTGAGCAATACCTTTCATCCCAGTGTCTCACTGAAACGGGTATGGAGTTAGTACATCACTCCCTTGAGGGCTGTCTACTCGAAAAACCATAGTCACGTTACAGCCTATGCTGAGTTATCAGGTCAACGACGTAAGTCGAGTAGTATCCGTAAACGATGCTCACTACATCTATTCTCATTCAATTCCACCCTAGGCCTACTTATTTATGGTGGTCTCCCTCTCGTCGTCTGACTTCACAGCGATTGACCAAATCACATGGGGATCATTGGTAGGTGTAGAGTACACAGGTAACATATTCTTGTTAGATGAAGGTGATGACAAAATGCGGAATTTGCCGGAAACCTTGAGTAGCAATTTCAGAATGTTTTGGATGTGTTTCCCATCACCCAACTGTACATGGTTTAACAACAGGCAGTGACACAGTTGAGTGCGTTGACCACTTCGCTTATTTAGGAAGTTACATCATCCCTAGCCAGTCATCGACCAACGAAATCTCTACACACATACAAAGGGCTTAATCGGCTTTCACCAACCTACGCCATTTATCGTGCCACTGGGATATTTCATTACATATGAAGAATCGAGTGTACTCTCCACTGCAGTTCACTTCGTTTTACCATATGCCTGTGAAATATGACCATTAATGGTCGTGGTAGAGGACATGAGAAGGCTTCAGGTGTGTTTGACCATCATTGCCTTCGTAGCTCGGGGCAGTGTGTCATGATGTCACCACGTCAGTAAGGTAGAAGTCAGGCATAGACTTTTAGGGAGAAGAGGAAAGTCAGTTGATAAGGTTGTGAATTTTCATCGACTCAGGTGGATGGGCCATGTGTCACACATTTCTAATCACCATCTCCCTCGTTAGCCTAGGTAGCTGAAGGCTGGTAGAGGTTAAAGATGGCCAAACTAAAGTATGGCATCAATCCATGAAGTGTGTGAGTGTTTGTCCGAGTCGTGTGCGGAAATGTAGACTTCGCGGTTGGACTCCGCATGGCGAGTGGAACCAGTGTTTGGAGACTCCAGATGATG